CGACCTGTCCAGGGTGTACCCCGCCTCTCGCCCTATGACAGCTGGGATAGGCTCCAGCGCCCCCCGCGACCCTGAAAAGGAGAAGCAGAAGCGAATGGATGGATGGATGGTGGGCTTTTATTGTGGTGGAAGCATGGCAGCGAAGCCAAGATAAATTCATGACGATGTTTTGCTGTTGGTTCGATGAGTTTTGGTCGTCGAGTGACGAAACCTGCAGTTTTCGAGTCCGTGCGATGTGGTAACACGTGTGTGCGTGCTGCCGGGGGGTCCGTGTTGACGTCTGTGCAATCTGTTCACCTGATCTTTAATGGCTGCTTTATCTGTTTGGTGTTTCTGTGGACACACACGTTTGTATTTAAATGACACATTTGATACATCCTATTAACCCAGATGCTCTGATGTTGCGTTTCATGACATGGGCGGAGCTGGGCGGCCTTCCAAACATTGCTGTTTTGATTTCATTGTTGAGTCCAAGGATGAGGAACGTTGTACTGAAACTAACATGGCTGAAACAACACTGTCCCTCTCTGTGCCACAGACACATGTGACATCAGCACGCCAAGACACAGGGGCGTCGGCTCTCAGGAAGAAGGTAGGTTGTGATCGACCCCGGGCGTCGCGCTGATCTGTTTCTGCTCAAACGTTTTCTGAGCAATAACTTTGAAAAGTTTGTAGTTTAATGTCAACATTAATGTCAACAGCATGCTGTAGTTAACGTGAGTCTCATCAACTGTGAGACAGATCAAACTAATAACTATGTTGCAGTTCTGGTTTCTTTCTAAATTACTGTCATTTTTGCACTTTTTACACAATATGTAACAAATGACATCGTAATAGAGCGTCTGTGGTGTATGTGCTGTGACGCAGGTGTTCGCTGAGGCAACACTGGACCTTCAGCAGGAGCAGTCCTGGGATGAAATCCGCTGCTTATACCGAGGACCATCCAGGGTATTAAAACGAGCGCATTTTCATTAGGACATGACAGATTCCACTGATGCTGAAATTAATGTGACGCAGTGCTTGTTGTTTTTTGTTATAGTTTAAAAACAGTTATCATTACACAACAGCAGTAAAAACAAACACAAGAAGGTGATCCTACAGGTGAGTTTGTGTGCTTGTGTACTGCTCTGAAATGGCAAACAATCAAGATGTGATTGACGTGCAGGCTTGTTGCACAGAAGTGTTGCATTAGCTATTTTTACACAAAACGACATTTTCAGAGGCTCAGAAGTAACTGGACCGACCGATAAGCAGTTTCTTGGCAGGTTGAGCCACGAAACTGGTAAAAAAACGATAAAAGAAGCCGAAGCAGTCTTTGCTTATCCAGTTATTTCAGTGCACGTAGCCTTGGTAGGGTGTGTCCATCTGTGGGTCCAGCACCCCAAAACAGGAAGTCCCCGTTTATCTAATCCTGATGTACGTTTCTGTGGGTCAGCAGGCAGTGCAGAGTCTAGGAGTTGATGAGCGAGGCCACTGGTTTCTGAATGTCTACCCTCCCTCCTCCACTGGGAGGAACCCTGAGTTGCCTTGCAGGCCCAGTATTCATCAGCCCCCCTCTAGATCAGTGCCAAGCCACTCAGTTGAACTGTTAGAAATCTGGAGTAAATTGTAAGAGCTATTTAAACTCTATTAATAATGATGGATTGCATTTATACAGCGTTTTTCAGGGCCCTCAAAGCGCTTTACAATGCCACTATTCATTCACTCTCACATCCACACACTGGTGGAGGCAGCTACAGCTGTAGCCACAGCTGCCCTGGGGCAGACTGACAGAAGCCAGGCTGCCATATCGCGCCATCGGCCCCTCTGGCCAACACCAGTAGGCGACCGAGACGGTCCGAGCCGGGGCTCGAACCGGCAACCTGCCGATTACAAGACGAACTCCCAACTCTTGAGCCACGATCGCCCCGTGATACTCAAGTTTTTACCTTCACAAAGGGTTAAAAAAGGACTATTTGAATGTGTGATATTTTATTAAAGCACAACCCAAAAGTAATAAAAACAGAATCAAATCCCTTGAATTATACTTATCTAACCTACTCTGATCTAATGTTGACTAGTGTTCCTGATAATAGTCCAACAGGAAAACAGAATCCTGGAAATTCAGCTCCAGACTTACTGCTGACGACACAATCCAAGCTCTCACTGCGGTTGCACAGGGACTGAGGGCTCCTAACAACGCACAGTCACTCCCGAAGCCATGCAACCTGTGGTTTAGCTCAACCTCCTGAGCTGCAGTCAGTCAGGCTGCAGACCAGCGAGGGTGCCGTGCTATCCACCACCAACAACATCAACAATGCCCACGTGAGCATCAGGATGGACCATGATCTTTTTTTCTTCTGTTTCTATATCTTCTCTCTTTCCTAGTTGTCCATGCTTTCAGAAGTCTCCCACTGCCACGAGAAAACAGGATCTCTGTTCTCCGTCCAGCTGGGAACAGAAAGTTTCCAACTGAAACTCTCTCCTCCGCCTCTCTTCGAAGAATAACATCATGACTGCTTGAGGACAACATTTTCCTTTTGCTCTTTTCAACACCAAAGTCCTTTGGCAGTAGCTGACGTCAGATCTCGCTTTAGTCCCAGTTATTCCATCTTTCTTTGTTTTTTACTGTGTACAACTTTACCCAAAATGTTGGTTGAAGCAATGCTGCAGAAGTCTTCAGCTGGATAAGCTCTGCGCCTCATCTGGCTCATTTTGAAATAGAAGTTGATGTTTGGTGTGAGTTAAAGTTCGATGCAGCAGTTCAACTCTGAGGTGGGACTTCCAGGGAGTGATCTTTAAAAAACATGAAAACATTGGATCGCATCTTGTAAATCATTGTGATAATTCTCAGTGTAGCTTTGCTGAACACCTCAAAACTGTTCATATTTACACTAATATATTATTAATGACCTGTGAAGATTTTCAACATTTTCCAGAAATATTAGAAAAAACGATGTGCTGTGTAAATTAAATGAAGCACTGGTGTCTTTAGCATAAAAATGAGTGTCCCTGTGTGTAGCCTGAGCTTTTCTGTGTAGAGGCAGCGTGTGATTGTCAGTCAAACAGGAAACCTTGGCCTTCTCTGTTTAAATGATAAAGAGACTAGAGGGAAAACAAGGAGTGAAATTAAAGCTCAAATATGACTAAAAACCACTTCAAATGTTGTTTCTGTTGGAGTTATCCTCCTGCTCCACATGCTCGGTTTACAGCACATTATGGCTTCATTAATAAATTGACCAGAGCAACAAAGGCCCGAATGATTCCCAGCAAATGATGGTTTTCTGTCTCCTCTGCCACATATGTGTACATATTCAAATCATTTGGCTTTCTGTTGCACATTATGTGGTGACTGTAATGATTGAGGCTGGATGTTGTGATGTGTTACTTGTAACAGACGAAGCAGAGGGAGGTTCGGCCCACGCAGTGCTGTTCTGGGTTATTCATCTTTACATTTAAAAAGCTCCCATCTGAAAACATCGAATCAAATTTGTCATCAGTGACATCACTGATACTAAATCCTTCTTGAGTGTTTCTCCTGCCTGAGAGCTGTAAGAACGGGGACTTAAACTCTGCTTAATAAACCAGCACGTACTGTATATTGTCTCATGTGGTGTTTGCTTTGTTTGTCTTCAGCTCTCATAATTTTGAGTTAAAGTTCTGCATCACACCAACTTCAAAATCCTCTTTTAGAAAACCTTCAAAACTTCCTCTGAGGAATCAGTTTGACTTTGTACTAACAGACATCTAGAGCTCAAAACTCTGCAAGCAGTTACAGATTTCAGTCCGATATATCAGGACAAAGACATTGTTACACAGTTACAGAGAGCACGCAGACAGGATTTTACATCTCCCATCTCCAGAGGCTGAACAACAACAACAAAGCAAGAACAGCTGACAAGCAGTTTCATGGCCAGATGGTGTTTTATTCTCTTGTTACACTGGACGTGCTGTGAAATGTTGAACCTGCTTTGGTAGCTGTGCACTACAAGTCTCAATATGAGGTCACAGGAGCTGCTGTGGACGAGGCCATACTAGGCTGGAGAGAGCGAGTGCAAAGTTTAGCAGCTGTCAAATAAAACGTCTTCAACATGAAGACTGAACCAGCTCAGCACAACAGTCTCACAGAAGCAGAAGTCTCCAATCAAAAGATGACTTCATGAACTGCTCATTACACTGGAGAGCGAGGAGGCCCGACCACACAGGCTGTTTCTGCAAAAACAAACCCCAGACGGAGGAAAGGAACGGCGAAGCATAAAACGTCAGCGAAACCTGATGGACAACATGTAAAAGGCACGTATGGGAATATGGCTGCCAACGGAAATGGGCCACAAATCAGACAAAGTCATTTCTTGACTACATGTGGCAGAAATCAGCCGATCACATCTTCATTCGCTGATTTTAACTTTTGACTAATGCTTCAAATTTGGCTTCAGCACCTCATCAGACCCGCTGACACTGATTTTCAGTCAGTTCTTGTGTAATGTGACACACCTCAGCCTTTCCTCCATCTTCCTGACAGCCAGCCTTCTACTGAGGCCGTTTCTGATGAAGCTTTGGTGAAGAGTCCATGTGTCCGATCTTTGCTGCATTTGATCTCATTTCTTGAGTTTCAGATACAGTTCACGTGCTGCAGATAGACTTTTAGACCCGCTACATCTTTGTCGCGGCCTTTTACTTTCCAAACAAAAAACTGACCTTAATTTGTAATTAATTTTATTGGATAAGCATTCGATAAGTGATTGGTTTATTAGTTTATGGACCCTCCCATTAATTAAGAGATTAAGAGCACCCTGGATGGGTGTGGTAAAGAGGTTTTTTGTTTTGTTTGCCAAATGTCAGATGGGAAGACGGGAGGGTTAAAAAAATATTTTTTGACCACTTTTGAAATTGTTAAAACAAATTAAGTTAACTTTCGTTTAAGTTTAACTTTTAAGAAGTTATTTGGCTGATTTCTGTTTGTATTTTTTTTTCCCAAAATAAACGGCATATGATTTTAAACAATGGAGTCAGAAGTGCGTAGCAAAACAAACCTCCCGTTGCCACCCACGGCCTTTCCTCAGATTTTTTTGTTTGGAAAGTAAAAGGCCGCGACAATCTTCTTTGTCGTCCCCTTTTCCCCGATTCCTCAAAACATTCATAAATAAAAGCCTTGAAAGTGAAACTGAGTGAAGAACTATTACACTTTAAAAAAATCACAGGACAGTCTGGAAGCAACATCTGAAAGAAATGGTGGTGCATTTAAAGAGGAACAAATAAAAAAGACATAAGACATCAGTAAAAACGTGTCATAATTTACGTCCCTGTATGCGGAAGCTGCACATGTTGCTATGTGTGCATCTGCTTTTGCTGAGTCTGTATAGTCCAAAACAAACAGCCAGGTTTGCTTCTGATAATGAAATGATTAGGACGCAGACCCTTTAGTACTCCAAACTACTGTTCTCATTATTTTGGAGATGCTACAACCGTCGTCTGGCCAGCATCAAGTCGTTCTGCTCTTTTATCAAAAGCACTCTTCACTACCCGGATCTTTACTCAAGCCACGGGAAGTCCAGTGTACTCCGGTGGCCCAAAGCAATCATAGAGTTCCTGCTGGTGCTAGATGATTGTACTGGTCCCAGATCAGGCCTGTAAAGATGAAAAGGCAGGGAGTAAACATGTGTACATACACATCTAAGATACTCTTTTACTTTGTGCATGTGTCAGCAGGAGAAGGGTGTTTCTAAAACATCTTGGATTACAGCAAGACCTTACTAGGCCTAAATCCCAGACTCCCACTCCTACACGGGAACACTGAGGAATGCTGATTTGACTCTCCCAACCCTGCTCTGTCCATCTGGGTGGGTGCCAAGCTCCAGTCAGGACGGAGGGAGAGGCTGAAGTGCCAGCAACACTCCACCTCCCATTAAACTCCTCCCTCGACAAGCTCTCAAATAAAGAAGAGCCAGTGTTCATCCAGAACAGGCGAAAAGCCCCTTTTAGAGTCCCAGTCTTTGCATCCTGCCTAAAGGTCTCTTAGGCTGTCCTTTCCAAAACACATTGCTCATGCTGGATATTCACATATAAATAACTATAAATCTTCCTTATCACACAGGGGACACAGGTACAGTGCCCTTTCAGTGGCTCTGAATTGGTGTGATTTCGACCCGTGAGGATGTAACGTGTCTTTGACAAGTTGAAGAAGGAAAGCAGGATTATGTTGATACATGTTTTACAGCAAAAGTAAAAACAGGAAAATGTGTGTTTTACTGAAAGTGAGCAGAAAACGTGAGTTTTGTTTATGTTTGTGAAGAAAAACAAACATACACTGAAACATGTGCAGGTACATCAGTCTTCTTGTGTTGTGTGTGTGGGTGTCATGAAATGTTCTCGTAAAGGAGGGTGGGACGTTTTCAGCCTGATGATGGTCTGCTTCACTTGCATCACTTGTGAGACCACCTTTTGCCTCTCTGATGGGTCCCCAGCTGTATACGGACCCCTGATTAGCTGCCCATCGGATCATTTGGGCCAGTGTGCAGCGACAAAATGTGAAAAAGGAGCAAAATGGCCGTTTATCCAAGTTCTTCTGGACCTGACTGCAGATCATAGACGTACACTGTGGTGTGGAGCATGCTCCTCACCTGTAGAGCTGTGGGCAGGACATCTTCAGTGAAGCTGAGGCTGCTCCCAGCCTGCTGTGATTCCTTAACTTAGTCTTCCTTACCACGTCTTTGACTCTGGCCCACGTGCTGTTTTCACTCAGCTGAACACAACGACACACAAAATCGTCACTGATCAATTTCCCCTTCCAGCAGTAAATGCAATGTCAGCCTGACAGAGTTTTTGGAATGCAGAGCGTCGCCTCATATATCTCATGTGAAAACATTTGTTAATCACGCTGCAGAATGTGATTCTGTCAGGATAAACCACTTACTGTGTGCTGATGGATGGAGAGCCCCTCAGTGCTGTCCCCGTGGACCTCCCCCTCAGTGTGACTCCTTTGGCTTAGGCTCTTCCTGCACGGAGGAGCGAGTGTGAAACCACCACCTGTAACTCCTGAAACAGGGAGCAAACAATAAGCACTTACAGTTCAGTTTGTGCCTGACTAATAACATTTAAGCCAGTATTCGTTTGGTCCTTTCGTGCATTTTGTCAACGCTGTAAGCACCTGTGAAAAACAAAACACACTACACATGTGTGCTGAGCCACAACATTTCAAACGCTGTGTGTCCTCGGTGTCCTGCCCAAACTGAAGGATGGACGTTATCATGGCAAAACACACTGACTTTAAGTACAGGTGGACCCGACCATGCAGGCAGAACAGCTGTGTGTGTGTGTGTGTGTGTGTGTGTGTGTGTGTGTGTGTGTGTGTGTGTTTCCAAAGCATCGCTACATGATTAGTGATTTTTCATTCAGTAATGGCTGTTATAAGAAATCCTGCGTGAGACGGTGCACGTCTGCCTTTTCCTTCTGCTCATCCCACTCCCCTCTTCTCCTACTTTACTGTAAACAGATCACTTCTTGTCACAGCTTCTGTTGGTCATAGCACTTTGCTAGGACCTATTCAGTCCAGTGCTATAGCTACATAACAGTTGGTGAATCCAAATGTGAAATTACTTTATGTGGACTGTGCGTAGTCCGTGTTCCTGTCAGGAGCAGATTTCCGCCCGGGTTTGGGTAAAGCAGAACCTTTCTTTAAAGTAGATGAACTGTGGGGGTAGTTCTGGGTCACACTGTGAAACTTGAGCATTGCTAAAACAATTTGAAAACATCGTTTAGTTTGTTCAGGGTGTTTTCAGAAGCTTGAAGGCTGCAGAACAGACTGTAAGTCCTGTCTGAGGAAAATATCTCGTCTACTACGTTTGGAGAAGCTGAGAACTGCATCTAAGCATCCTTCTTTGCCTGCTTGTGCAAATAAACTGCTTTGTATGCTGCCAGTTTTTTCACTGCTGTTGGTTGGTCATTAGTTGTAGTTTTATCCAACCGAAACCATAAACCTCTGACCGTTAGTAACTACGAGCACACCTTGATTTCTGTTGGAAGAAGTAATAGACTCTCTTTTTGTTGCTGTCTTATCTCCTCAGACCTGAACTCTTCCACAGCAGCGTTTTTAATTTCTCTTTGATATTTGGGCTGATTGGTATTTTGGTCTAAATAAATGTCCACATATGTGAACGCCAGGTCCCAGGAGGTTAAAGGTGCAGTCTGCCCTCGATTGGAAACGCACCATAAACATACTCTAAGAAATGACACACTGATGTTGGTAGCATTATGTAAATGCTTCATGTTAAAACTAATGCCACCAATTGATTTTTAACTTTAAACACAAGTATGTTGTTTTGAATTTAATTAACAACATAATATTTCAATACAACAAAATGCAGTAAATTAAATCCAACGTAAAAAGTTCATTTAAAATGAAGAGCACTTTAATTTAAAGAGGATTGTCCTAATAGGCTCTCCGTACTTCTGAGTTTGCACATGTGCAGTGTGGAAGTTTGATCATCCGCCATTTTCAACTGAGACTTGCATATGCTTAGCATCCTGGATGGAATCCATCGCCATCTGAGGATTATTTGGTTAATGTTAATGTTAAAAATGTTGGAATCACAACACTTTCCAGTTTTAATCATTTCAGTTTAACATGACATTCTGTATCTTGTCTTCCTGCACCTAAAATGCACTTGAATATATGTAAAGATTGTTTGGGGAAAAAGATCTAGAAGCATTTGAATTGCTCAAAGTGTGCTTCAACAAGTTTTACACAAAGTGTTATTAAAGTTAGGTTAACTGAATAAACTTGTGTTCGATTTATTTAATTTACAAACTTAAATAGAGTAAGTTGCAATTCTGTTAAAGTGATTTAATCCTATAGTTTCAGTAGAGCGTGTTTTGGGTGAGTAGATTTATCAGATTTACTTAAAATTTGTTGTTCAAATTAAATGTATCATACATTTTATATTTCACTAACCCAGTTGTGTGGAACCGGTTGACATAACTGGGTGGAGTAAATACAACATGTTATTTCTCAAAGTAAGTACAGCTTGTTTTGGTTGAGTAGGTTTTATTTAGTCTTCTCAATTTAAATCAACAAGGTTAGTTATATCAACATTATGATATTCAGCTAATGCAACATGATTCTTTTGATTTGCATTTAATTATCCAAATCTTATCAGATGTACTTAAAATTTCTTGTTCAAATTAAATGTATCATACATTTTATATTTCACTAACCCAGTTGTGTGGAACCGGTTGACATAACTGGGTGGAGTAAATACAACATTTTATTTCTTAGAGTGCATGCTTATTTATTCCAGTTACTGCCAACAGGTTACAGCTGACAGGAGCAGCAACAACAGCTGCTTATGAGATAACATTATCCTGATGTTAGGCTCAAGATAAACAGGCTGATTACATGCTCACATCACCTAAGACTTTATTTACGAGTCCAACAAAATCATATCGACTTCACAGAAAGTTTCACTGTTGCTGGCAAACAGCAGCTAAAAACAGCAGGTTACCAAGAGCATATCCTCAGTGCTACCTCCAGCTCAACGTGCCTACACTGTGATTGGACAGCAGCTTCACTGAATCGACGTGTATCAGGCTGCCTTCACAAACCTGGCATACTCAATCTTTATGTTTATATAGCACTAAATCACATCAGAAAAAACACATGATGAGTGAAAAACAGAAGGGAAAGTGTGAATCTTGAAAGTAGAGATAGTGTCTGTCTCCTGAATCCAAACTGGAAGCTGGTTCCACAGAAGAGGGGCCTGAAAACTGAAGGCTCTGCCTCCCATTCTACTTTTAAATACTCTAGGAACAACAAGTAGGCCTGCAGAGCGAGAGCCAAGTGCTCTAATAGGCTGATATGGTACCTGATGAACAGCAGCCAGACTTTTTTGAGATGCCTCAGGTTAAAAACATAAAATACTGCAAAATCTTTAATTGACACATCAGTTTTTTTATTCCTGATTTATTAGTTTGTGTTTCTACTATTGAAATATGTAAAAGTCTAGTGTTAGAAAATATTTCCCACAAACACGAGTAGAAACACAGGCAGGCCACAGTCTACGTTTAGTGGTGAGATTTTAACTGCTGCACCGTGAAAGATTTCCCAGCATGCTGTGCTGTCAGCATGTTATGTACATTTACAACTACATGTGCAAAATTACATGAAGTTTGCAAACGTGTTCAATGATACTTGATGGTGAAGTTGTGATGTAACTCCAGCACTCTGTACCAATGTTTGTTTATGCCTGTTTTATCTCATATCAGATTTTGGATTTTATGGATTTACATCAGTGCGATGTTTTGTATATTAGTTACAAACATAATCACTGTTACTGCACAAGGTGTTGTGGAATAAATGTCAGGTAGTCCTCTCATGAATCACTATTTATTCACTACAAGAAGATACTGGGATTGAATCTAGCAGCCTTGTAGAGATTGCGGGTGCTTTTGTGTGTTTTCTCCAGGTGCTCTATTACCTCCACCGGTCGATATGAGTGGGTGCTGTGTGACCTCTGGAACGGCTGACAGGTCTGAGAGAGTTCCACTGGGCGATGAAAACTCATCTCTGGATTGCGTTTTCTGGAAATCCTGGAAGGCTAAACTGGCTGCACCACAGCTGCAGTAGTCTTTGAAGAAGTCCTGGAAAAAGCAGAGAAGAAGAAAATGTGTCATGAAATTTTCATTTCAAAAGAAAGTGGTCAACAGCTGAAAAACTGATTTTGAACGTGGTTTTAAATAAAAATGATGTTTTAGAATTTTACTCCACATAATGCAGATCATATATGATGATACAGTAGGATGTGTAATTTGAATGTTGTTGCTAATGTGCATCGTGGGACCAAAGAACAGGCACAGCACTTGTGCGATTAATGGTTTCTTTTAACATTATTTTTGAGGACTTTGTCTTTGTTGGACAGACATTACAGAGGTGAGAGAGAGCAGCAAAGGCCAAAGTTCAAGAGTTGGGAGTTCGCCTTGTAATCGGAAGGTTGCCAGTTCGAGCCCCGGGTTGGACAGACTTGGTCGTTGTGTCCTTGGGCGAGACACTTCACCCGTTAGCTGGTGGTGGTCAGAGGGCCCGGTGGCGCCAGTGTCCGGCAGCCTCGCCTCTGTCGCTCTACAAATACAGGCCATTCCTCTTGAATATGGCGCCTGCTCACCCACCAAACTGAGCTGGTACCCTTTGTGAGCATTGTTTAGTTAATCTAGTTTCCTCTCCTCCATAGTCAGACCATGACTGACATGTTAGCTATATGTTCTTCTTGAATTGCTGTCTGTCTGAGTGGTGTCCAAAAATAGACCTTTGCTCCCCATGATTACATGTTAAGTCTCCTGTGTTTAATGAAATATTTAGTGCACTGCATCTCTTGGGTGAACAAAGGCAGAACTTCACTTACAAACAAGAGGAAATGCTTCGAGTTATTCCTGAGATTTGTTCTAGTTTAGCCTCAGCTCCCACTCAGGTGGCCCCCACTGGTGACACGGAATCACACAGTCAGCAATGAAGCAGTCACGCAGCCTCATCCTGCGATCTCAGTTGCAGTGTCCCACGATGCTGTTTCACCTGAGTCCTTTCCTGGGGAGTGGTGGTGGTGGTGGGGGCATTTTGGGGGGGTTCCTTCCACCTGCTCGCTTTCAGCCGCTCAGCGCTCTCTTCCCACGATGATGCCACTAAACTCTCGTATGCCGTAGGCGTGCTGAGAGGACGCGTGCAGGCATGGGCTGAGGCGTATTTCGACCTGTGGTTGCTGAGACCGGCTGGGTGGAAAACACTGTGCGTGAAATTTGTTTTCAAGCATTAAATAATCAGTTGGCTTCATGTGATGAAGCTATGATCACTCACCAGCCTGAGCCTGTTTGATTAGTTAGGGAGACCCTCGGCTTTTTCACGTCTCCAGACGCTCCATTAATTCTGGCTGCAGAAACACAACTCTCACATTGACTGGGCCAGTAACAGAGCAGAGGGTTTGAGTCTGTTCTGCCTTGCTGCTTTCAATCAGCCTTACCCACAGCCTCTAACAGATCACAACCAGAACATATACCCGCACCGGATCCTTCATCTGTTCCTGAACAGTACCACGATCTACGACAGACAAAGCTCTGTCTCAACCTCCCCACAGGCCCAGGAGGAGGAGCAATGTTTCTCTCCAGTTTATTAATCAACCCAGACAGAGTTGCATGTTAATTCATGTAATTGCAAACTATTCCTGCCGCTCATTCGTTTTAGTTACCACTTACCTTCCCAGTCTTTTCCCACCTTGGGATGTGTGAGGTAAATGAACTGGGTCTCAGCACTTTATACAACTGGCTTCATTCAATCACTACTTCTTGTAGTCACACCATTCTGTCAGATGCTAGACCTCATCTCTGTAGGCGGTGTCGCCATCGTTGGTGTCCCATCATCACCAAATCTGCAAATTTGGTGATGATGATGCAGGGATGCGAGGGGTGCAGTCACTGGTGTCGATGGTGTATAGGAGAAGACTCGGCACACATCCCTGTGGTGAGCCAGTGCTGAGTGCTCTCTGGGTGCCAACCTTGACTGATTGTGTTCGGTCAGTGAGAAAGTTTTTGATCCATGTTCATGTAGCGGAGGCGGAAGTCTGAGTTTACCAGCTTGGCTATAAGAATGTCTGGAAAGATGGTGTTAAAAGTTAAGCTGAAATCAACAAGGAGCATCTTTACTGAAGTCCCAGCATTCTCCAGGTGAAGCGGGCAGTTCTTTATGCACTTTAGGATCAGCTTCTCAAAGCACTTCACAATAGGTCTGTGGTCATTAAGGACAATGATGGTCTTAGGGACCGGGACTATTGTTGCTGAGCTACATCGCCCAACGTGGGGCTCGAACCCACGATCCTGAGCTTAAGAGTCTCACGCTCCACCGACTGAGCTAGCTGGGTTTGTGCTGCCATCTTTTGTTCCCATTAAATCTCTGAGTTTGCTAGGTATAACCAAAACAAGCCTGCAGTGTGTCGTTACTTACGTTTAAGTTTAAAAAGTCAGACACTCTGAGAGGTGACATCACTTGTAAGCTGGAAAGCAAATGCTGTCTCACTAATTTAACCATTTAGTCTGGAGAGCCCGTTTGCTGCTCTATAAATACGCCATCTGTAAAGCTACAACATCTTACTATTCATCGCAGAAAATAAGAACAATCCCAGGCTTCTCTTCACCACTGTAGCCACACCTCTGTTGGCTGTAGCTCAGGTGGTAGAACACAATTCAACCCCTGTCTGCTCCAGTCGGCCTGCCAAGTGTTCTTGAGCATGACAGTAGCCCAAGTTACTCTCTGATGCATCCTGGGAGTGTGAATGTAGAAAGTGCATGTGTGATATCTTAATGACCTCGTAGTACCATATCACTCTCACACTTACTTGTTGGTGAATTCTCCCGTAGTTACACTACAATAGTCTTTGCTGCTGTGCTGAGTGCTTCTTCCACTCATTATCTGTTTATACACCACTCTGCATTTAATCATTATTAATCTCTGGCTGTTTTCCACAGAGAGTCTTTTGTCATGTCGTCCTCCCCTCACCAGCAGCCTGTAGCAGCAGATGGCCCCGCCCCTCACTGAGCCGGGTTCTGCTGGAGGTTTCTTCCTGTTAAAAGGGAGTTTTTCTTTCCCTCAGTCGCCAAGTTCAGTGTTCATAGGGAGTCGTTGGTAGGGTCTTTACATTACAATAAAAATGTTTTGAGGTGACTGTTGTTGACCATAAACCGTCACAGTCTTAATGTGATAATGAGACTCAGCCTCTGTTGTGCGTCCTTTGAATCTGTCCTTCTACCTTTCAGCTTCTCATTTGTTAACAGTATCGATGTTCATGTCATTTTCTTAACACACACACTTGCTCGGGTGCGCTACATCCTACACAGTGTTACTGTAGATGGTGAATGCTTTCTGCCGGTGCTCTTCCTGCCACCCCTGCTGTACACGATGCACCAGGGCTGTCACTCATACACAGAGCTGTACATGACGGTCCATTCAGAGACCACAGGCGATATTCCAGTCAGGATTACTCTGCGTCTTTAGTGTTGTTTTTGTCAGGGTCACGGCGGGCTGAAGCCAGTGTACGCCCTGGACAGGTCTCCAATGTGATGCAGGGCTAACACAGAGAGACGGACACCAAGCTCCACACAGAAAGCTCGTTCACCGGCCTGATGGTGAAGTCAAACACAGGACCTTCTTGGAGTGAAGCGACAGCACTAACCACTGTGCTGCCCATATTAAATGTATTGGTTATAAAATACAGAATTGCTATGTCAGTTGAAACAGCTGTGAGTGTGGCTGGAGGTTGACCTGGTCGTTCAGCACTGTTAACGCGCTCTGCCTTTCTGTTTTCAAGTTCTGTGCTGCTTTTCAGTATACTTCAGTTTTATTTACATGGCACCACATCACAACAGCCACCTCGAGGTATGACACTGTAAGGTAAAGACCCTACAGTAATAGCACTGCTCATAATATTTAAAACAAAAATGTATTTAAGCATAAAGACACAGGAGGTAGAGGCAGTTGGTTGTCTATAAAAGGCCAGTGGTTCATTCCCTTGTTCCTCCAGCGTGCATCTCCAAATATCATTGTGCAAGATACTGAAACCTTAGTTTCCTCTGACGCCTCCGCTGGACTCTGAGATCAGGTTCAATGTGCTTAAGCTTGGAATGTGAAGGAAAAGTGCTTTGAGTGCTCAAACCTAGTAGGAAAGCACCATATAGACCAATGAGACATGCTTTTCAATCTCCACACCCCCAGTTGCAGACAAAGACTCTTAAAGGTCGTCGGACAAAGCTGCAGCTTGCAGAAATCCTCACGTTTAGGTCTCCAGATGGCGACTTTATTGCATGAGTTGAAATAAGAGCGTTCACACACCTCTTTGGCCTTTCTCATCCTGCATTCCTTTTGCAGACTGCAGATCTGCCTCTGCAGCTGGAGGTTAGTCTCCTGCATCTGGCTGATCTTCTCAACGAGTTGACAGATGTGCTCCAGGTAACCGAGTCCTGAAGATAGCGGGCTGGGACTCACTTGCTGCGCCTGTACAAGCAGAAGGCATATGGGTTAAGATAGTTATGATAATTATGCCATTATTATCCTAAACAATGCTTCTATTTTTCCTCCAGGACTGCTGTAGTGTAATAACCATAATTACTGGCTGGGTTTATTTGTTCATTATTCAGTTTTATTAATGAAGAATGTCACCACAGATAGTGAGCTTCCGAAGCACACTGCAGACTAAAACCCAGGCCTATCATTTAGTCTAGTTTATGCAAGAAAAGTGCTTTTGTTATGATTATGATGGAAAGTTTTGGTTAACAGTGTCTCAAATCCTGACCTTTTTATTAAACCAGAGCAGATAGTGTCAGACTCAACACTGACATCATTACTTTAGTCTAATCGTTTTGTTGCCCACCTGCTGTGACTGTTAGTGTGTGCTTGCTCCTTCGACACATTAATTAAACTTGGCAGCAGGGGGTCGAAAACCTAGGTTGAAGTGTATGTGAGGAGAGTGATAAGCTTGCACCCAGTGCTGCTGGACCTGCAGGTTGCTTTTCTCACCTGGTTTTACCTGGTGACCTCCCACCAAGCTTCACACTTCACATTGCGAGATTTCAGAAACCATGGGAAGAGTTTGTGTAAGAACAAGGCTGATAAGGATGTTTCTGGGTCCAGTTCCTAGCATCAACTACATGATGATGTTGTTATCAAACCATTCTCCCCTCACTGTGCCATTAGGATGATCAAGGCTGATATCACTGACGCATTCAAAAAAGGGACATGTTTTGCACTTAGATTAACATTCAGGTGTAAAAGCAGTCCACTCATTTTTAAACTAGTCTGAAAAAGCTCTGCTGGATCCCACTGAATAAAGTACCCTGTGTTCTGCACATTTTAGGTGATTTTGATACTTCAGTAAACTCATGGACACACTTTTCTACTCTAGCCGAACTCTAAAAGCACTTTCCACAACTTGCCTCAATCACATCTTTTTCTGTGTAACTTTCAAACATTCATTCTCTGGTGGATGCATCTGAGAGCAGCTCAGGGCTAGTGTCTTGTCCAAGGATATTTGGCATGCAGGCTGGGATTGAACCACCACCCTGCCGATTAGGTGGTGCTCTACCATCTGAGCTACAGTCTGATGTTTTAAGGCATAGCCTCCAACAGCTGTGTATGAAATGCTCCCTCTGGAAAAACTGCCTCATAGCCACAAAATCACTCAGTGTCATTCTCTCTGTTGCACCAGCTGTTCCCTAAAGTTTGCATACATTTAGTGTCAGAAAGTGCAAATGCATCTCTCCGTGTCTGCAGTGAAGCTTCACTAAAGGCTGCTCTGCTCCTGACGTGTTGCCTTTCGTAGGATACCTCAGTTTGACTCTGTCGCTCACAGTTTCATCCTCACCCTCTCACTCCCCTGTTACATGAACACCAAAGCTGATTGTTTGTTTCATTTCAACTTCCAGGCTTTCAAGATCCCACGCTCAGTCGCCAGCTCATCAACATTTCTGTGCATTTATTTAAAATGTGGAAAAACTGAAGCTTCCTTACAGCCGCAGTTTAGTTGCTGCAATACAGTTCAGACAAAATGTCTCATCAAGGGTTTCCAAGTCTGTTTTCCAACCTTAAATGTATAGGAAAGGTCACACCCTCAGTTCCTGACACAAGATGCTAGCATCTCTTTGCAAAGGCATATTCAAAATGTTGGTTTATGTGGTAAAATCCATATTTTAATAAGAGGAAACTTTGAGCAAATATTTATCCAACCACAAACATTCCTGTAAGTGTACCAACAAAAGCAGGATGTGAGCTCAGGCCCAGTGTTTCCCATGCAGCTGACACTGAAACGCTGCTCCACAGTGGCTGTGGTGGAAACAATGGCCAAACAGGTTTAGGGACTGACATCACTCATTTCCTCTGATGCTTTACAGAAACGATTGTATTGAGACTGAGAATTTTTACAATTGCAGTAAATACATTAATGATGTGTTAATATTTAAGTTAAAAAATCCATATCTACATTAACGTTGACAATGACTGTGCACAGGTTGCAGATCCTGTTTTTGCCTCCTGATATTCCAGTTTAGAGAATAGATGGATAGTGTCACGGTCCTGGATCTTTGATCAAGTATTTTCAGTTTTGTTCTGGACTTTTTAATTCATGTTTTAGTTCCTGTGTCTGTTATGTTGTAGCACCTCTGAGTTTGTTATTTGTAGTTCTTGATTCTTTGGCTTTGTTTTATTTGTTATTTCCCCTTTTGTGTCCAGTCTGTCCTGGTCTTGTCACCATGCTTTTTCTCCAGCGTCCTCGCCTCTGTTTACCTTCAGTCTCACCAGTCGTATCTCGTGTCCTCTGTCTCATCTCTCTGTGTTCTGCCTCCATGGGCTTCCCAGTTTTGTCAAGATTACATTTTATTTTGATCGCCTCCTGTCTCGTGTATATAATGTTCAGTTTTGCTTCTCCTGTCTCATCAGTTTGATTCTGTTTAGCTGTGTTCTCAGGTGCGCCCACTCTCCTCCTGTGTATATGTTGTCAGCACTGACCTGAGGGCAGCCGGTTTAAACAGATGAGCGAGGTGCAAGGCGTCACCAGGTGGTGCTAATGTACTGGGACACTTTGCTAGTCTTGCTGAACATTCAAAATGCTTTAGGCTACAAACTGCATTATAACTAAACATTTATATTTTAATTATACACTTGAAATACTTTATTTTCTTAACATCGATGGCAAATTTTCATTGTCATTTATATGCTTGGACTGTGGGTGGAGATTGGATTACTCAGGAGAAACTGACACAGGCACAAGGAAAGCATACGAACTCCACACGGACGTGCCTCAGATTTGAATCATGAAACATTTTGCTGTGAAGCAACACGTTTATCCACGGCACCAGCAACACCCATCCAAATCCAACGTACTCGACCTTTTGATCTTCAGCACGAGGCCCCCTCACAACAGAAGTCTCGCTGGTTGCTTGTGTGTTAGTGCAATCCCACAATCTTCCCAGGACATTCTGACACATCTGCCCCAAGATCAGACCCTGCTAGCAGAGCGAGACTGAACAAGTACGGTTTGTTTTGAAGGCTTGTTGGAGAAAGTCTCTTCTCTCTTAAAAGAACACGACAGTCTGACTTTAAAAACCAGCATCTGAGCAAATCAAATGGCTTCATTACCCTTTAGACAGACCAAAGAGAACACAGTTGGCCCTAACACACAGCATGTGGCCATAGCACATCAGCACCTCATTCATCTTGCATCCTGTCAGGAGGTTATGGACGAGTGTTATTTTGCAGCCACAGGACCTTATAGACTGACTGATCACAAACTCCTCTCTATACCAAAATATTCCAGAGGACATTTATCCGATCACAGCAGCAAATCTTTGACACAATGACTGAAAAACAAAAGGACTGAAGGGTCAAAGTTCAGACCTCAGCCTGACTCAGATGATTAAGAGACTCGTTCATAAATGAATTTCACGGTAAAGACGAACGGGCCACAAATGGAGTGAACGAAGTTATTACTGACAAAGGCGGTGCTTCATGCTGCATGGCACTAAACTCTAAACATGACCATGGAACGATGATTAAAACACAATGAATATCAGAGATATTACAACCTAAAGGAGAACATTAATTCCAGCAGTGTGAATATTTGACTGAGCCAGGTTTGGTCATTTTTGGTGGCTAATTAAGATAAGGATGGGTATTCAGTCCAGGAGATGGCTCTCACTTCCTCAGGGGAAGTCAGTAATTGGGGTTGGGGGTTGTTCTTGATGGGACAGTAAACATTATCAGGGCTGGCACTGATCTTATCTATGGCCTTGCTCAGACCGCTGAGCTGGGAAGACTTAATGGGATTTCCCCATTTAAACACACACACACAGTGATGCACTTCCTTGTTTCAGATCTGATCTCGTGAGTCTCACGTGGAAAGTATACCAAGACTGGATTACGTAAAGATGCTACATGTCTGATAAAAGAACTACTGCAAGTTTGGAAAACTAAATAAAATGAACATTGGAAGCTCAGATCAGGAATCCCACAATCCAAACTAGAGTTAGGAGAAAGATGAATGGAGCCTTCCTTTTAGAAAGAAACCATGAACATCTGAGCTGACCGTTTCATACTTTTATTTGGCATATGTGTGGTATAATACTGTCACTTTCTTTTTACTGTCGGGATCATGTAAAGGGAGGTCTGAAAGTAGAAACGATGGCACCTGTCACTATGATAAGGAGTGATGCACAGGACTGGCATTAATGTCTCGAGGATGAAAGAGTCCTTCATATCTGATTTCTCACCTGCAGACTATATCATATTCTTATATGCTATAACATGCTATCAAAGCTCTACCGTGTGCAGAGGGCATTTTGCCATCGTTGAATGATAAACGCTAGGACCAGTTCTGTTTATCCTACACATGCTTCCTTTTGGCAATATCTTTCAAATGTGTAGCACACATTTTCACATTGATCACAGCTGATCTCTAAACATTCAAAGCAGATGACACCCAGCTCTATCTGTCCATGAAGCCAGATAACACACACCAATGAGTTAGACTGCAGGAATGTCTTAAAGACATAAAGACCTGGATGGCCGCTAACTTTCTGCTTCTTAATTCAGATCAAACTGAGGTTATTGTACTCGGCCCTGAAAAGCTTAGAAATATGGTATCTAAGCAGATTCTTACTCTGGATGGCATTACCTTGGCCTCCAGTAACACTGTGAGGAACCTTGGAGTCATTTTTGACCAGGACATGTCCTTCAATGTGGACGCTACACCAGTCCATCGTGGTGAAGAGGCAGCTGAGTGTAAAAGCGTCCCTAACTATGGCCACGAGATGTGGGTAGTGACCGAAAGAACGAGATCACGAATACAAGCAAGCTTCCTCCGAAGGGTGGCTGGCCTCTCCCTCAGAGATAGGGTGAGAAGTTCGGCCATCCGGGAGGAGCTCAGAGTAGAGCCGCTGCTGCTCCACATCGAAAGGAGCCAGCTGAGGTGGTTCGGGCATCTGACAAGCATGCCCCCTGGGCGC